TTATGTTTTAGCTTGGATTACTCGGTGTACAAACCATACTCTTGCCAGAGAAACATGTTCCTTCCCCGAGACAGCCTCACACGTCTCAGCTAGCCAAAAGTAGCTTATGACGAAGGCCATAACTGGTGTTCTCTGTCACAAGATTAGCGAGCTATTATTATTTACAAATGTGCCAAGCAGTCAAATGACGAAGATATGTAAAACCCGGTGATGCTTTTTTATGTCATCCATTTCACTCAAGCAACAACAGTCCACATACAATAGATGTAACAAAGGTGACATTGACTGAAAAACACAGTCAGTAAAAAAAGTACACTGTAAAAAAATTACAAGAAAGGTACAAAGCTTTCACTGGGGCTGTACCTTATTTTTACATCTTTGTATCTTATTTAGCCCTAAATGGTACATATTAGTATCTTAAATGTACATACTAATACTGTAAAAGTTCATATTAGTACCTAAGTATATTAGGACCTTTTGAAAGACTGAGTTTTGTACCTATATGTGGATACCTAACCCTTAACTGAACCCTGAATTCTAATTGTTGTTTCAAGGTTAACAAGGATATTTATCCATATTTGTTTGCTTTGTGGTAAATTATAATGCATAAACAGTGCAAACGTGTTAAAAAGTATGATCATCATTTTGGATTTCATTGCCACGGTTGGTGCACCACTGGACACAGTTAAAACACCCTTTTACCCTCCATGTGGGAAAGTCTCTTGAATATAAAAACACATTTTTTTAAACATTTGTATAAACTTGTATGTATTGAAATGGGAATATTAACTGATTCTGTACTGTAAAACTCAATGGTGTATGCAGCTGTCTGCATCCTTCTGAACAACTATACAGAATGTACATCTTTCAATCTTACAGTCTCACAGTCTTCTTGTTGTAAACTACACATTAATGTTTCCATTTATTCATCATATAAATTTATCCAGTGATTTACATGAGAATAACGCACACAGAAGTCATTAATTCAAGAGAGAAAACAACACTAATGCTACCTGTATTTTTTTTAAAGAAATAAACTTTTTATTTTAGAATTTAAATTTTATTCAGCAAGGATGCATTAAATTGATCAAAAGTGACAGTAAAGACATGTTACAAAAGATCTCTATTTCAAATAAATGCTGTTTTTTCTTAACTTTATTCACTAAAGTCTATCATGGTTTACAAAAATATTAAGCAGCACATGTATTATGTATTTATATTGTAAAATCAACCATTTTTGCAAAGTAAACAGAATACAGATGGTAATATTACACAATAATTTGACCATAGTAGTTGCTCTATGTAGTAAATATGAAGAAAAAAAAAAAACTAAATCCTAAAAATTCTCTTTTTTAACTTTACATAACGGTACAATATGGGATCATGAATATAATACAAAGTTTCATTAAAAACTATTTAGCAACTCAATCTAAATATGACTGCAGAGTGTTAAAAATTCTCCTGAATAAACATGTTTATTGTTCCCTCTATAGTTTTTTCAAAAACAGAGTACAGTGTACTCTGGGACAAATTGCCTGACCTATGTTTTTGTATTTAGACATTTATATAGGACTTGGAAACAAGAGCAACATGGTCCAAGTTCTAGATGAGACTCTGAGATGTTTTCTTCCTCCCCTATTCAGGTCTTTTGTAGATAGTTTCTCCATTGCCCTCTTTCATTGCAGCATATCTAGCCACCGTGAACAAGTAGTCACTCAATCTGTTAAAGCAAACAGTGTTCATTGATAAAACTTATATCAATACATGAAATACAATTCTCAAAAGAACTCATTGAATAAAATTCACAGATCCAAATTAAATACTATATATAGTGACTAATAGTTAGAATAGGTTCATACCTGTTCAGATATTTGGCAACTTCAGGATCTGTCTCCCCTGATTGGACAACAGGGGCAACACTGTAATAGATAATGTAAGACCTATGACCTTTGATACTGACACAGCGGTAAGGCAATACAAGTAGAACTGATATTGAATATTGGTTATGCCAGACTGACCAGCGTTCAGCCCGTCGACACGCTGCTCTGGCCACATGTAAAGCTGCACTGCTTTTCCCTCCTGACTGCAAATTGAGTGTGAGATTAAATGGCTTTCCTTCAGTACTTTAAATGCAATATTATTTGTCATCAACATGTTTGTAGCAACCCAAAATCAGATACAATTCTCTATGTAAATTATATCAGTATTTCAGGTACTCTGTGGATATTATGTAATCATATATATTTCTGGAACATACATACAGGAAGTATGAAGTTGGTGAGTGGAGGCAGCTCCTCTGTGAACGAATCAATCCACCTCTCCAGCTCAATCACAGCCAGGGAGCTGAACTTCGTCTTCTCTGTTTGAAACAAGAACATCATAACATGGTTTACTACTTTTCTTTACGATTAAATACACTAGAAATGGCCTGTGATTCTGCTTACTGATATGACTGTCTCTAGCTGATGACCGGGGAGTGGCAATATTTGACCCTACATCCTGTAGTACACACTGGATCTGAACAGAACAGAGAAGTATACAGGCACTTAAGCCAAGCAAAATATAAACCAAGTGCCATTTCCGTGAAAACATTTCAAATCTGAGGTCAAATGACTTTGTACATCCAATAAAATCAACTTGATAACAGCTGGTTTAAAAAAGGAATTCTGTGGAAAGTCCTAGAATAATTTATTTGCAGATTTTGTATAAAAGCAATAAAATGTAAGCTTTTTTGAGAGTGACTTAAGTTTTCAAATGCTTTCAGGGCCACTGGAGTAAAATTAATAATCCACCTAAAATGGATTAGATTACAAAAGGTGTAGATGAGTTTGTTTCTTTATCAGGGACAGACGTGGGGTAATATAGCATTCCATCACTTGCTCACTAATGGATCCTCTGCAGTGAATGGGTGTCGTCAGAATTAGAGTCCAAACAGCTGATGAAAAAAATGTGTAATGCAAATGATGTAATGCTAAATTTAAAAAACAAACAAACACTAGCTTTCTATTTTTTCTATTCTATCTAGGGTGTGCTAGCAATTAGATCACGTCAGCAGTGTAGCTCATTCTTGAAGCAAAGTTTGGTCTGAATGGGGATTGGATTCACTGTTTTGATCATTGCATTTAAACTGAGAAAGCAGGTACAGAATGATGCGTTCGATGTGTGATAGAGTAAACAGTAACAGCACGTGCAGCGGCAGCCTCCCCCGGGTCCTAATGCCCGCCCTGTAAGGAGTTTTAATTCTGTAGGGGGCGCTGTTGGCCTACTTCTAATAAAATGAAAGCAAAATACACAAATAATATTTAGACTGTGTTTCTGATTAAATAAAGCAGTAATTGATGCCATAAAATCATGAGTATGTTTTGATTTAAAGGTCAGGAGCTATAGCTTACAGGAACAAAAAAAAAAAAAAATCACAAACATGACACTTAAATTAATTAATTTTATATATACTGATTTATTCATTCATGTGTAATATGTTACATTTTTAAACAAATGATGAGCTCTAAAAGATTTTCAGAATTTTTACAACTCTTTTGCTTTAGACCATTTACAAATGTTAAACCTTAAAATAAAATGTTAAGGTTACTACTGCATCTTTCTGAAAAAAAATGCAGTAATTAATATATAGTTTATTTTCAAATCTTCAATGTACTGTCATTATAAAATAACTTTATTATTGTTTATTTAATTCTAACAAATAAGTTCGTTAAAAACGAACCAAAATTAAAAACAATTATATATCGTATCGGCCAAAATGAGTTGAAAATTATCGGAATATCGGATATCGGCAAAAATCCAATATCGTGCATCCCTAAATATGTATACACCTTGCTACGTATACTGCGTTAGGCTAACCGAGACTTGTCATTTGCACTTATATATTGTTGCTCTTTTGTTAGTTTTGACTGCTTTTATTGTCCTCATTTGTAAGTCGCTTTGGATAAAAGCGTCTGCTAAATGACTAAATAAATAAATAAATTTCTCCAAATCCGTTTCAATGAAGAAACAAACTCATCCACATCTTAAATGGCCTATGGGTGAGTTAATTTTCAATACATTTTACTTTTTGTGTCAACTATTTCTTTAAAATCATGCTCCTGGTGTCAGAAAGAGACAAGTACCTTCTCCAGCTGATCAGTGAATGAATGGCCGCTGTCAATGCAAAATTCTCTGGCTAACCTGAAAGAGAGAACCAGAGACATTTTTTTTTTGCTGGAAATTAACTACAATCAGGATTTTAGTCATTTGACCCACACACTACGCTACATTAACTCTATCCATTACCCAATTGCTGATGATAATTCATCTGTTGTTCCCAAAGCGTCAAATATATGATCCTCCTTTGGTCTCCTCTCACCTGTGAAGGTACTGGAAAAACCTAATGAGGCGAGACATTGAAAACAAAACAATGTTTACACAAACCTCACACTTCCAATTTGGCATGCAACACATGTTAGTCAATAATCACGTTTGTAGTACGAAATTAAATAACCTTTGTCTCCGGTTTTTGTGTAGATCTTGGGAATTCGTCTGTTTTCTTCAGATGTGCTGTTATACCTTAGAAAACCGAGAGAACATCGGTAACAGACATTTTTCTAAAATAAATGTCACGCCACACTGATACAGTTTAGCCTGAACACATGGGATATATGGGATTCAACATTCTTTTTTTTACCTTCTTTCATCCCTACACAAAGGCTGCATCTGCTTTATGCTCACATATGTCCCCAAACGAAGGACACGGTGAAGACCAGTGTACTTGGTCACGAAAAACGACATCGTAGACGTTAAAACATTTCCAAACGCGCTTCTGTGTTTACTATTAACCGTTTTGACAGCTCTTGCTGCCCGTAGACGGGCGTTCTATCGCGCAACCGATGACGCAATGTGGTGCGAAATGCGATTGGTGTTTTGAGAGGCGATGACTATGAGAGCTTCGTCCTGATTGGCTGGTTTAGAGTCAGCGATCTGAGAGGTTAATTCTGATTGGCCTAGGCTACAGCGACAGTTCACGTGTATACACTGATACAATTTCTCGAAAATATCTTACAAATCTGAAGTTCAGAAGCTGTAATAATTAAGATGCAAACACGAGAGTTTTTCGTTTCTGCCCCAGGGAAAGTCATTCTCCACGGTGAGCATTCTGTCGTGCATGGAAAGGTGGGTGTTTAGTCATTAGAGACCCAAACATTGACTTGATTAAGTGATGAGTTTTCCCTTTACCTCCATTACAATATTTTAGATAATCACTGGTTTGGAAAAATCATAGTAGTGAAGCATATTTTGCTTAGGATTTTGGATAAACTGCTAAATCTTTTAAAATTTGTAAATTTTTAAATCTGCTAAAGATTTAAAGTCCGGAAAATTATTTGGGGTATATCAAATTGTGATTTACTGTGTGTGGGTTCCATTGTGGGAATAATTTCTGTTTATGTAAATATTTAATATTTCTATAGTATGTAGTTTTTTAATGTATAGTTTTCCATGTAGGTTGACATTTTTGTGAGATGTAATTTATCACCACTTACGGGTCAAGAGGTAGAAATCATATGGTAAAAATAGTATCAGTGACGTATTTTTATTTTTTAGGAATCTCCATCATTCAATATGTAATTTTTTTTCTTGTCAGAACTGTTGCTGTGTCATAGTTCACAGTGTCAGCTGCTGTTGTTTTATTTTTTTAACCAATAGTTATTATTTAATTGCTTAATCAATTGTTCTAAAGTCTGTTGTCTGTTCTTAATCAACCTTAAACAGGTGGCTTTGGCTGTGAGTTTGAACCTGCGCACGTTCCTGCGGCTGCAGTCCACATCATCCGGTGAAGTGCACATCAACCTCCCCAATATTGACACTTTTCTGTCCTGGGAAATAACTGCACTGCAGCCTCTTCTGGCAGGGTGTAAAGGTGAGGAGAGATGGATGTTTGATTTTTATTAAAAAGATAGTTCACCCAAAAATGAAAATTCTGTCAGTATCTACTCCTGTATATTCTGTGTGTCGTTGTTATTTGGAATGTTCATTGAAGTTGTAATAATGCAGTGTCGGAACGCAATCATCTCCGGCCCATGTTTCTTTGACTGTTCATTGTTTCAGCAGAGCAGGGTGGCGTGAAGGAACTTGATGCAGATCTGTTGAAGAGACTACGTGAATTCACAGGGATTTCAGAGGATTCCACAGACACAAGAAGCATGGCAGTGTTGGCCTTCCTCTATATGTACCTGTCTGTTTTTGCAGAGTAAGAACACCATTAAACTCTCTGTATCATTTATTAAAACTGCATATATTTGAAAGCTGCATATGAACATTGTTGTAATATGGACTTTTGGCATTTGCTGTTTTGTTCTTGTTTTTCCAGGTCTCTAGCCAGTATCACGGTGTCCGTGTGGTCAGAGTTGCCCACAGGAGCTGGTTTAGGCTCCAGTGCTGCCTATAATGTTTGCCTGTCTGCCGCTCTGCTGTCTGCTAGAGGAAACATATCATATCCTCTTACACCACAGCAGGAGTCAGCCAGGTAACACTTCATTACAATGGATTATGGGGCTTTTATGTAGATAATGTAAGTAAGGATTGTTTCATTTGCTTTTAACTCTCTTTAAAAGTGAGGTACAGACAATTATTATAGGGAGTGCCCTCCTGAAACAACCTGCAGCCTTTTGGTTACCAGCCCAGATTGTTAGCAATAAGGTTACCCCACTTTTGAAACGGCAACACCCCTTCTGATTCAGATGATAGATTAAAGGGATAGTTCACCCAAAAATGAAAATCTGTCCTGAGCGCGTTCTCAACAGCTGGCGTATGACACGTCGTCGTCTTCTTCTTGCTAGTGATGTTACGTTCGTGAACGAATCGTTCTTTTTGAACGAATCTTTTAGGTGAATGAATCGTTCTCGTTCACGTAATCCATCCACTCATATTTCTCGTTCACTGAAATTCCTCCATCCAGCG